GCTCATGAGCTCCTTGTGCCTTTTGGATCTTTGCAACATATTGATGGTGATTGAGGATTTGAAAGAACCTACTCAACTATTTTGTGGCAGTGCACATGGTTTTATATTTTCAGGAAATTATTTTGTAAAGAACAACTTTTAATATTGTAGTTTCACCTGTTTAATCTGATAAATGTTGAGGTGCAATTTTGCTTTTAGAGATAACCATTACTTTAGTTAATAGAATGTGCAAGTACAGTATGTTTTGATGCTGTTTTGTTCCTGTACATGGGGTTGTACAGGTCTTTTATATTCATGAGTTAAACTTTTGTAAATCACTAACAAGCTTCAGAGAAAATAGCTTTTTCACAAGCGTATTCAAAACATGTAATGTAGTGGCAAGGGTATTGCTGTAGCACCTGCTTCAACCAGCATATAGTAATCGTGCCCTGAAAAACAAACCTGCAACAGTATCTATTTTAATTCTGAATTGGTACAGTATTTTAGGCAGCTCTATGATTAAATATATTTGAGAGCAATATGTCAATAGTTTGCAGGTGATATGTAGCAACAGGTCTATCCTGATGTACAGTATGTGTATTACCTTTTAGAACAGGTTTTGAAGTAGTAATTCAGTCTTATATCATCATGGTAGGAAAATTTAGAGCAATACAGTTGAGGGGGTGGGGCTTTTGGCAATAATGGACAAAACCTGAAGTCCAGTTTAACTTAATTTAATTTTTTTCCTCTGAGTACACATGCCTGGGTGGAAGGGAGCCAGAGAAGCCGAGCGTCGCATGTTACATACCTCACACGCAGGTATCAGTGTAACACCAGCGTTCTGTGTGGTGGTGTTGTTTCTCCTGTAAGATATTTATACACATTTTTTGTTCTTAAATACATTAAACACAGTACATCAGCATAATTTGTTTATAATTTTCTGAAAGTGTATTTTAAATATGTATTTACCAGTTAATATGCAAATAACTGAGTTATAGATATTCTTTCACAAAAAGGTAGTACTGTGCAGTACGGAGTGATTTTTTTTTTCATAAAAAGTAGATAAGACTATAAAGTTGCTTTCAGTTATATATTTATGGTACTGCTAGATGGGTAATCTCTTCTGTTGGTTTTTTTGTTGTTTTTTTTTTCCCTTTTTTAACCCAGTATGTATATTATGCTGAAGTTTTGAACTGGGATTGTTTTTCAGTACTTAGCTGTGGAACTGTTGGTGTAAATTTATTTTTGATAAAGGCTGGGTGTGTTTATTTTATGGTTCAGACCTGCACATTTTGTTTTTGCACAAAAGTCATTTTAAAGAATCTGAAATATATCTGCCAAATATTGAAAAAGTAATGGTGTGCAAGTAAATACTGCATTTTCAGTCAAATGTTGCCATTACATCATTTTTTATATAAAGGACACTCGTGAGAGATGGTGGTTAGATATGCCAAGGACAATTATTTTCAATGGTGCCTACACTGTAAAAAAATTACTTTTAACTCCTTGTTTTAATTTTAAAAGAAATGTTTCTGTTTAAAACTTTCATCTGCTATATAACTGAAATTCAATTAGAATTTATATCTGAGAAAAAAGTCTGGAAATAGTTTTTGAAAACAATAATGTTATGGATTAAATAAATATTTTTATAAATGTAAAAGCAGAAAAAGTTGTAAATACAGTTGATCTGAAGCTTTACAAAATAACTGCATCACAGAAACAAATTGTAGTGCTCCTCTAGCTTCTATAGTTGTTAGTCTTGTAAATCTGTTTATAGATGAAGCTTATTTCAATGTTTTGGGGGGTTTTAAATGGTTTAAAAATAAATATTTAAGTTCTGTAAACTTTGATGAGCTTGTTGTGTTGTGCATTTTATCCTGAATTTAAGCAGCTGTGCAGAGGTGTGGACGTGGCTCTTACAGCCCTGTGCTCTAGTTCAGGAAAGGTGATCCTTGCATGGTGGTGTGGGGGTGCTCTGTGTGCCTTCCCCCCATGCTGTTCTTGTCCAGAGGACACATGCCAGCTGCTGCACCACAGGAATGAACCCAGGGTTCAGTGGGATTCCACTCCTAGAGAGGAGACTCCAGGATCTGTGAGCTCAGACAGACATGTGTGGCCAGTGAGGACACGGGAGCGGTGTCAGAACGCTCCGACTGCGTTTGACCTCGGCGCTGGGGAGTGAAGGTACACAAAGGCCTGTGCCACAGATCCCTTGGCTTTCACTTTGGCAACCTCAACCCAAATCCCATTTTAAGGAGCTCCATACAAATTTTTCACAATTATAAACATTTTCACTTCCATGTCTCTTCCCTTAAGGTGTACTCATTATGTGGGAATCCGAGGGTAGAGGTGATGGGAATTCTTGCCAAATTTTGTAGCTGATGGCTCAAGATTCTGTTGACACGGAATCTTTAATCTGTGCAACTCTATGAACAATTCTGGGTAGGTGGGGTTAGGGAATGACACGGGAATTTGGAACGTGACCTATGTATAATACGACTGTAACAAGTTGCTGAACTGTGGTGCCTCTTCTTTTCCTGTGAAATGGGTGGGATGTATACCTACCTCGTGGGACAGCGTGGGGAAAAACCCAACCATGTGTATAATACAGCCTTGTTCTCTTAGAGCACAGGCCATTCAAGAAGGTTTTTTATTGAGCTGCATTTCTGCTCCTGAAGTCTCTGTGCATCTTAAGACTGTAATTAACTCCTAAGAATGGGTGTCTGTATTGCTGGTTCCAGAGAAGCTATTTTTTTCCCACATGTGTTTGTTAGTTATTGATGAACTGTGTAACTTAATCAGCAGTATTCTGTTGCTGGCAGATAGCTAATGGAAAGATATATCAAAATATTCATGCAGGAACCATCTTTGTGCTTGTTTGGTTTGCCAGGCTTCCCACTGTAGGTTGAGAAGAGTTGCTACTGAAGCAGTCTGAGTTGCAGAATAGAGAAATGTATTTATTGTTGGGTAGGTGAGTCCTTTATCAGTGTAACCTCTCTTACAGCCCTTGGTCTCTGACCCCTCTATTCGCTTCTGTACAGTAATTAAGTGTAGTGGTGTCACACCTGCTCCTGCCTTCAGTCGAATGTCAGTGGCTGAATAGGAGACACGTAAATTTGGATGTGTTTGCACAAAGATTAGCAATTGTTGAAAGTCTGATTCTTATCACACCGCTTTATGACTTAACACTGGAATAAAATTATTTTCCTCTTTGTAAAGTTTTAATGGTATGCGTGCTGGTTTGTCTTATTTCACATCTTTCCAATAAATGAAGTAACACTTACTACAGAGATGAGGTAACTATGCTGAAACCTGTCAGTGCTTCTCCAAACTGAAGTTTTTTGAATATTGTGTACATTTTGCTTCTTTTTATTTCCTAACACCTCTGCCTTAAAAGTCGCTGAACATTGTGCATCTGAATTTCAAGATCAGGTTTATCTATTTAATATAAACCAGTTACCTCAGTCTGAATGCACTGAGTAGGTTAATGTTTTCATGCTGTAATGGTGCTGTGCCTCCTGCCCTTCTATAATACTTCCTTGTGTAAGGGCTGTAACAGTTTACATTTTCCAGGTACTGCTGTCTGTCTTTCACCACTTCCATGTCCTCTCTATATCCTTGTTTTCTTCCTTAGAAGAAACACAGTCATTTACACAGATGTGCTTGTTTCTTTGGGGTGAACAGGGCTGAGCAGGGACCAGGGAGAAGGACTTACTCAAGGCTTGTTTCAATTGTTCCTCGACATGTGAGACACTGCTTTCTGGGATTGTTCCTTAATTTTAGCAATCCCAAGAAAGCTGGTTTACGCAATGGATGTAGCCTGGAGATGTTAATTTCTGTCACTTGCTGACGAGCTGCTTTGTTCCTCTGCTATTGTTGACTGTCCTGTAGGATGTGCTGAGGCACAGTGCCCACGCTGTGCCCCAGTGCTCTCTAGTCAATGGAAAAATCCAAAAATAGTTCCCAAGTCCTTGTTTCTCCTTCTCAGTGCTGTTTTCCCAGCATAGCCCTGAATACCAAAGCTGGCAGCTCCTGAAGATTTGAGCAGGATAGCTGTACATTGATCCCTCTTGGTGGGACTGTGTGTTTGCTCTGGGACATGCTCAAAGTAAAGCTGACCTGGGACAGCCCTCACCTGTGTGTCCTTATGTTTTCAGGAGCTGACAGTGATTGTGGGTATATTCCTGGGAGGGATGTTCTTCCAGCACTGTGTGTGCAGCCTGTTTGAAACACTGGTGCTCTTTTAACCTTCTAAAACATAATGCACATGGACTGCTATTCTCTGGAGTGAGTGGTGGTTTTTGCTCTTTCCGAAGTGCAGAGCTTTGGGAAAGGAAAGAAACAACTCTAACCAGAAGAATTATCCCTTTTTTTCCCAACAGAATATGTGGCAGGGCAGCGTGAGGGATCCCTGTAGTTCACAGCTTCATCACAGCATAACCAGGAGCAGAAGCAAACCTTACCGTGTGCTTGATTGTTGGTCTGATTCATTCCTTTGGGCAACCGGCCAAGAATGGGGCAGTTTTCAGCAGCATTCAGGGATCCCAGCAAGTCTCTCCAGTTGCACAGAACGAGCCAGCAAGCAGTGCAGGAGAAGGAAGCACTGAGGGCTGCTGAGGAGCAGGGCAAGGTGGGCTAGGGGTGCCTGCAGGGCTGGGGGTGCAGATGGCACAGGGCAGAAGGAGGAACCCAAAGTTTAATTGTGAACAACTTATTTTTATTGCCCACTGTCTAAAACAAAGGACAGCGACACCCAGGGTGAACAGTACCCATAATCTGAGTTCTTTTATGTTTTAACTTACTTTTTTTGTCCCAGCTTCCTTGTTTCTGAAGTCCATTCTAGTAGGTCACTGTGGATTTTCTGGGCTGTCCCTCTGCTTACAGTCATGTCCTACAAAGACTTACAGGGTTGTTTTTAAAGAAACTTATGAAGAGCTCCCCTAAAAATCTTACAGAGGTGTCATCATTCTCAAGATTTCTTAGTAGATTTCATGTAGGTTTAGGGTAATACTAAGTTTTTATAATAAAAATACTTCCAAGAAGCTGCCTGTTCCTTTCCTACGTCCTGAGATCTTTTTCCCTGTGCTGCTTAACTGAGGCCTGATTTGGGGAAACAAAGGACCCCCTTAGAGAGGTGCTTCTACCCCAGATTTAACCAGGGCACTGAGGTACCAGGGCTCTCAAGGATAATGCCCTAAACTGGCAAGAGAGGAGACAGTTTGCTTCCTCCATGGCTCCAAGAATTGCAGGGAGCACCCATACACCCCTTGTCCTCAAGGGCCATGTGGTCCCTGCAGCACTGAAGGCAGATGAGGCACCTGGGAGCTGTGCATTGGCTGTGTCACATGGAGTCAGCTCCTGGAGCAGACTCCCATGAACATCCTGCTCCTCTCCAAAGGGGCCTCAAACACCCTTAACACCACTGTGCTTCTCTGCAGCTGGAAAAAACAGCAGCTTAAACTATTCTATGAGAAGTCTCATTTCTTTTTCTCCCTCCCCCTTCAGTGAAGACTCCAGCAGTGACCTCCAAGCATGATGGGTTGTGTCCTACCCATCAGCTTGGGCGGGACAAAAGGCCTTAACAGAGCTTTGGGAAAGCCCTGGCCCCTCACTGAAGCAAGACCCTCCATGTACAGTGGCAGAGACACCCCAGCAGGAGTTGAATACTTCTGAACCCTCCCCTGCTGTCCATTAACACATCCTGGAGCACTCACACAGCAGAAGCCCATCAATGTTTCATTAGCTGTAAGCAAACAAGAGTGTCACCATTCCATGGTCCTGGGTCAGCGGTGGTCACCTCTGCTCCCTCAGGGCGGTGTCAGGCACCTAGGTGAAATACTTGGAGGGCCCCCTGGAAATCTTTTCGGCAGTGCTGGTGGCGAAGGACACCTCCTCATCCTCCTCATCCAGCTGGAGGCTGCCCGAGGACAGGCGCACCCGGGCCATGGGCGAGCGCAGCACGCGGCCGTACAGGGAGCAGTAGTCGGCGGCCAGGAGGTCTGAGTCGGAGTCGCTGGACTCGGTGCTGCTGCCCAGGTAGCGCTCGGTGGAGCGCCGCGGCCCCAGTGCCAGCCCTTGCTGGGCTGGTACGTGCCAAAATACGCCTGCTTTCCGGCTGCTCAGCGCGGGGCACGGCCCCAGGGGCCTGAACTCAGAGCCATAGGGGAAGCGGATGGTCTTCATGTCCGACTGGCTCCAAGACCTCTTGGGAGGTTGCTCCTGAAGGCCGTAATCGAAGGAGCGAGCCAGTGACCTGTTCTCTCCCACCACACCTGTGCCCGCTGCTGTGCCCTCAGCCTTGTGGTCAAACTCCCCAGCCTGGGTTCCACCCGGGCTCTGCCTCGGGGGCTTTGCTGCCACGGGGCCACATGCACCGACTGGTCCTGCTGTATCCTCACCAGGTGCCAGTGTCTGGCACGGGGGCTGCGGGGCCCTGTCCAGGTAGAAGAGGAGCTGCGGGGCCGGGGCCACCACGGGCAGGGGACACGGCACGTCCGTGTACACCAGCGGCCGGGCACTCACCTCCCGCATGTTGCCCACCGAGGTGCTTTTGTTGTTCCCAGAGAACTGGTGGTGGGGCCGAAAGGATGTCAAGGGGTTCCTGGCACCAAAGAGGTCCATAGGCTCCCACGCCCGCTCCATCTCCAGCTCAGCGTAGAGCAAGGGGAAGGCAGACGAGCTTTTGGAGTGGGGCAGGAAGGTGGGGGATGCTTCAGGCTTGGAGTGTTCCAGCTCAGCGGTGAATGTCACCTCCACGGTGGAGCTCCGGCGCCGGCTGTCCAGGGTGGGCTCGGAGGCGTGCACTCCGTTGGCGTGGTACGAGCCCCGGCTGCCATAGGCCAGGCGCAGCTCCTCCACCTGGGCAGGGCAGAAGGGTGGGTGGGTGCCCAGGGAGGAGCTGGCAGCGAGTGCCCAGAGTTGGGCATGGCACTACCTACTGCTGGCACCACGGGGACTTACCTGCTTGGAGACATCCGTCAGGAGGTCCGGGGAGGAGCGGCACTGCCTCTCGTCATAGCGGGATGTGCAGTGCTTCCTGCAGGCCGAAAACATGGGTGGGTGCGTGGCCAGGAGGGTTCTGCCTGCCCCTCCAGTCCCTCCCGGGCACTGCCCCCCTCCATGCCCCCCCCAGTACCTCTCAAAGGGCAGGCTTTTCATCTTTGCCTTCCTCCCGTGCTCCAGCAGCTGCCGCTGTGTCCTCCCACTGCAGTACAGAGGGAGAGGTGTGAGCAGCACCATCAGCCCCAGCCCTGGGCAGTCCTTGTGCCCCAGGTGAGGAGTGCATCAGGACCGAGGCAGTGGTATCTCCAGCAAAAGCAGCTGTTAGGCATCACCCTCTCACATCCAGCCAGGGCGGACACAAAGGGGAGGCTCAGGCCATCCCCATGCCCTTCCCAGCCCCAGCGGTTTGGTTTTCCCCTGGGACTTTACCTGTAGCGGAAGCTGGAGCCCTTGCTGCACAGAAGGGCTTTGGGCTTTGACTTGGGCTCCTCAGAGAGCCTGAAGAAGGCGTGGTACTCCACACACGTCTTCCAGAAAGCCTTGCAGGTGTCCCGGCTCGCCATAGTGAACTCCAGTGTGTCCTTGCACAGCTCCTGCATGCCAGAGACAAGCGAGATGGTGTCAGGGGCGTGGGCCAGGCTCTGCTGTTTGCCCTCCTCAGCCCCAGAGGGTCACACTGGGCTGCCAGTGGCGCTGGGTAGTGCAGCATCACCTCGCTGGGGACATGACAGCAGCACGTGCCACATATTCAAGGGGAAGCAGCATCACCCATGAGCAGCAGGAGCAGATTTTGTTCAAAACTGGGGAGTTGGTGTGGCTGATCTTCCATCCACAGCTGCTTGCTCCTGAGCCCAGCAGCTGCCTGCAGCATGGTACTTACAGAGATGTTTGCATGGAGCTTGATGAGAAAATGCTTCCTCTTGAAACTCAGTTTGCGAATTTTGGACCAGTTGAAGGTGTTGATTTTTGTATTGCCCTGCAAGGATGAACGTAGCAGTTAAAACAGGACAGGGCAGCCTGGAAATACAGAAATGTGATGAGCCAAGACCTGAGCTTGCAAGACACTGCATGAGACTCCAATGCAGCTCTCAGTGCTGCTGGGGTCTGGAGATTTAGTGTTTGACCCTCCTCTCCACCAGTTTGTTCTACAAGTGGAAATTAATGTTCAGGGCTTAACTCTGCCTGTTGAAGCTCTTTGTAAAAGTCCAGGATCCCAAGACAAACTTCACAGAGGTCAAGGTAGGGAATCCTATCTGTCCCAGCTCAGATGTCATGAGTTAATGCAGAATCAGCCCACAAAAGAAATAAGACCCTTCTCTCTATTGCTGGGAAGCATAGCAGAGCTCAGCTCACCCCTATGCATTTAGACCCGCCTTAAAGGCTGCAAGCCTACCTTGTTACCACCATGCACCAGTTCAGACACATCCACACGATACTGGTGTCACGCAAGAACCAGCCAAAGTTGCCTTACTCCACTCTGTGGCACCAGGACCCTCTCAGCTTTCTGGGAGAGCTGAGATTTTAATGGGCTCACAGATGCTCCAATCATGCGTGAGGGGTGTTTATGGCTCTGAGTAAATAACGAGGTCTGGCAGTGCTAATTACGAACAGCAGACCCACAGGTAGGATTTATTGGGGTTGATTTTTTTGTTTGGTTGGGGTTTTTTGGTTGTTGTTTTTTTTTTTTTTTTTTTTCTCTGGCGTTCCCAAGTTGGAATTAGCCGGTGTGGGAGGCAAGCACTGCCTCGCACGAGGAGCTCTGTGGTGTTTACTCTGCAGCTCCACCGTGATTACAGCATTATGTAATTGCACAGACGTGAGGGGGCTATTTTAGCTGGAAGATTACATGGTGAGCACATGTGACAGAGCCCTGTAACCTGTGGTGCTTGTGGGGACAGGGGCCAGCAGAGCCGGGGCAGGTTCAGTGACACACAGCATGTTGTGGGGATGAGCTCCCCAGCCACACACGGGAGCATCCCCTCCACACCTGAGGTCTGTGGAGAACACTCTCTTGAAGGATTTGGAGCACACAGAGGGGAGAAGGAATCCCCCCAGTCCCTGGGGAGAGGGCACACCCAAGCCCAGGCTTACCCGCAGGACCAGCACCCCCATGTGTGTCACAGCCAGGTTGATCTGTGTCCCCTCACCGTCGCTGGCGGGGTGTGGGCGAATCCCGTACATCTCCAGCTTCCTGGCCACGTCCAGCAGCTGAACATCTGACTCAGCTGGTGTCTTCCCTCTAGAGACACAAACACACAGGAAGAAACAGGAATGAGAAGGCAGATGCTGAAACGGGCTGAAAAAAATGCCATTTTGGGTGTGTACATGCTGGCATCACACCCACCCCTTGCCAGGCCTGCCTGCTGATGGGAACAGTCCTGTCAGCAGGCATCCATCAGGGGTTTGGGTGGAGCAGCCCGTACCTGTGTCTCCGGTGGTAGTGCATAATCTTGTTGTCCAGGTACTCCTGGTTGGGCAGGTACCTGTGTGTCGCCAGGTGCTGCTGGTCTGTCTCCTCGTGGAAGTCGCCCAGCTCGGCTTTGGGGAACATGGGGAGAGCAGAGATTAGTACGTGAGGGGTTGATGCAGCAGGAACCCCTGGCTCTACAGCCAAAGCCCCATCCCTGGGGAAGGGGCACCGTCCCTGCGGGCGCTCGCTGGCTCTTACACTGCAGCAGGTGGGAGACGAGCAGCGCCGCGCTCTTGTCACTGCAGGGCAGCCGCCCCTGGGCCAGGTCCTTCTTGATCTGGAGGGTGAAGAGGTACCTGTGGAGGGGGACAGGAGCATGCCCTGGGGAGAGCTGGGTGCTGGGCTGAGCCATGGAGGCCTTGCCTGTTCCCGTCTGTCAACCCATAGGATGGACATCCTCAGAGTGACAGCAGGAGCATGCAGCCCCTGCAGAAGGCTGCAGCTGTGCACCACCGTGACGAGTACACCCCTGTCGTTGAAATGCTCATTAGTAGGTTTCAGAGTTAACATTCCTTTTTGTTTTGGAGGGCATTTGCATCTCTTGGGGCTGGCGTTCTGCAGAAGCACTGTCTTAGTTTTATTCTCAGTTCCTGCTTGCAATGATTTCTCAAAAATGTAAGAGCTAACGGTGTCATTTTTAAAAATAAAATTATTCTTTCAGAACAGAGCTTGAGGCAGGAGCTAGACTGAGCAGTCAGACTCAGTGCCCAACTGCTGAAGTGTTTGGCAGTAAACAAATTGCAGCCTCCTAAGACGGCTGATGCTTCAAGTGGATTTTGTTTAAAAACAGAGGATCAAGAAAAGATACTCTCTGGGGGTTTTTTGTACAGTACAGAGCTCTTTCACTACTTAGAATAACCTCTGTTCACAGACAGGTTGAGGGGGTGATAAAGATATAGAATTAACACATTCTTTGCAACTGCAAAAATATGGAACTGTGCAATAAGAAAATAATAGAACAAGTGCTGTACCTGGTCAGCTCTTCTCTCAGATGGCCGGGGTCCACTGGGAAAAATTTCACCATAAATTTGAAAAGAACCTCCTTAGGATCTTAAAACACAACACCTTCATAAGTTTTCTTTTACATGTCTATTGAGAACAATTACAACTCTCTTCACACATGCCATCTCCTTACAGAGTAAATTAATCTGGACCCTTACAAATCAGGGCTGGAAGCCCTGAACATCAGGGACTCCAGCCTGCCCCCCCAAAAATAGCCTGCCCGGGTCCCCAGTGTTACCAGTGGATGCAAATAGGGATGTGGACATCTAAATAATACTAAGGAGAAAATGCCCCAGCAATTATTTAAATTTTGAATACCCCAGCCAGGAGGGGGTTTCCATGGAGCAATGCCAGGGTGCTTGTCTGGAGCATGGCCAGAGCCCTCGTGCAATTGCCATCAGTGGGGCTGTGTGTTAAACTCAGGCCTCCAAGCACTTGGGATGCAACAGCTCCATAGGAGGCTGTTTGGGCAAAGAATTTCTTGTAGGATGAGTGAGAGCAAGGAGCCAAGCCCTAGGCAAAGTGCATGGAGGGAGGGAGGCAATTACATAGGCACCAACTGTCCCAGAACTCTGTGGGATGGCTCAGAGGGACAGGCCAGAAGGCAAATGGCAAAAGAAATTTGTGTCTGAAATAATTCCACTTGTGGTGCACCCAGAAAGGGGAGGCTCTTTATCAGACTTTCCTCTTTCAGGGAAATTCCTGCAAACACAGTTCTGCAGCCTCCCCACGGCAAATACTGGGGTCATGGCCTCATGCTCTCGCTCACCTCCTGGTCATTGTGTGTTTGGGGAAAATGCTTTGGGTTGATTGCAGGGATGGGAACAGGTACGAACAGAAAGGAGCACCGTGTCAACACCAGTCATGGCCACGGCAGGGGATGCTTAGCCTGAATTCAGGTCAGTCTCTGCAGCATCTCGGCAGGGCTGGGGAGGAGCAGCAGAGCCTGCGAGGCACAGGAGTAACCCTCCCTCACACAGGTCTGTGCTGATGGGAGCTGCAAAGGGGAAAGGAGGGCACGCAGGAGCACTGCCTCCCACCCTGCCAGGACTGCCATGTAGCCACCCCTGCTCCTCCACCAAGCTGTCATGTTATTAACACCTCAAGTCTAAAATGGTGCAGATACCAGATTGCAAAGGCAGTGGCATTTCCACAGGATTTTGTGTGAACTGAGGTGTCCTTGAAAACAATCCTGCCAAGCCTCACCCTATAAAATCGGCTCAGGTAATTGCTGGAAACCAGAGACCCCAAGCAATAGTGCTGCATGAACGTGTCTGTGCTAGTCTGTCACCGGCAGTGATTTAGAATTTTGTTTTTGAAATACTTACTTTTGACTTGCTTTGTTATGGGTTTTAGTGGTTCCAACCAGACCTGAAACAAGGCAGTGAAGAAGTGGCTAAATAAACAGCGCAAGAGATAGGGAATAAAAACAACAGCATCATGCTGGAACGCAACACAAAAATGCTGGCCAGCTTGGCTGCTGCAGTAGGTGTCCCACCGGGCAGCCCCACAGGGATGGCTATGGATAAATCCTATGGGCCATGGATATCGCTTGGGCTCTGCCAACAGGCTTGTGGCTCCTCTCCTGACTCCCACTTTCAGGTGGGGCTTTTTCTTTGCCATAATGGCAAAACTTTCTATTTAAGTTTTCCACATGGTATTTCAGGGAGGTGCTAACAAGTCCCCAGCCACGAGGGCAGTGCAGCACTTGCAGCTCCGGGACCCCACTCTGCCAGGTGCACTCACCTGGTTCCCAGCCTGGCTGCGAAACTCCAGCCCGAAGTATTCCTTCTCCACAAGGTTGAGGTGGCTGCAGGTGAGGTTGAACAGCCCCTTTCCACAGGATTTTTGCTACCAAATAAACACAGCACAGAACAGAGGGTTAGCCAATGCTGACAGCAGCTGTGATGGAATTCCAATGAGACGGGGAGAAAGCAACTCCCTGCCTGCACCCCTTTCCTGATTGGGCTGCAGCAAAATCTCACTCAATAAATGCTCTTGGCTTCAGCATATGGGACAGGAGAACTGCATGCTGTGCTCCCAGTTTTTGGAAATCAGTTTCCTTATCAGTTTCCTTACCATCACTTCTCTCCTTTTTAAAGAATATAGAAAGGAAAGTAAGAGGAAAGAAATCTTGCTTTTGACTCACCTTTTGCAAGCATCACTCTCTGGGCAGCTCTGTCCGTGGCAAAGCAGTGAGTGAGCATCCACCTGAGCCAGGGACAGCCATGGCAAACATGCTTAATTAAGAGCCTAAAGAGCCAACGGGAGCTGCCCTCAAACCTGTGCAGCGAGCCCGTGTGCCCCGACAGCTGCTGGCAGGATTGCCAGGGATAAACTACTATTATGGTTAATGTTAATTAACAGCAACAGGAGCCTGCAGAGATCCTGTGCCGTGGGCCCTGGGTCATCCGTGTGCTTTAGCAATATGAATTAAGTGGCACTACATGCTGATGAGGGAGGCCAGGCTGTAGTTATTCCCAGTAAACAGAAACACTTGCAGGGTGCTCTGCTTGACTTGTTGCCGTGCTGTGTGACACGGCCGGAGAACAAGCCAGGACATTTCCTGACTTTGGAAAATGTTTCAGAAAGCACCAGAAATGAACCTGGCAGTGACCCACACCAACAAATACCCTGGTACTCTTTCATCAGCCTGTGAAAAGCAGACCAAAAGGAAGTGTGGGTTATTGCAAAAGCAAGCCAGGGCAGAGAGGCCGGGTTAGACAGCTGCTAAATTATGGCATTTCGGGTGATGGAGAGAAAGGCAGGATGCTGCTCCCTGTGGCAGTGGCTGTTCCCGGCAGGGGCGGGAGGGACCCGGCTGCTGGTGGTGATGCACACTAATAACCACCTTTCAGGGCTTCTCCTGGGATGAAATTGCTGGCTCTATGTTGAAAGGCTGCAGAAAAGTGATAGCGTAATAACAGCATTCGCTCTGCAGCACTCCCGATTCTCCTCGAAATTACTGGATCACAAGGGTAATTAAAACAATTACAAATGTTTATTTCCAAGCTAGAACTTTCTAGCATGAAAGGCCTTGGCCTTTGTCAGGCAGCCAGGAAAGATAAGCATTTCTTACCCACCAAATTATTACCCACCAAATGTCTGCTGGGAGCGACCCACTCTCCTCCAAGCCCTGCACTGCCCGGGGCAGGCACCAGGGAGAGGAGCAGCCCCAAACCCTGGAAAACCTGCTCACTGGGAGACACAGCCCTGCTGCTGCAGGGGCTGCTTTAGAAGCAGAGCCCTTCTCTTGCAGAGTGTTGCTTGCAGGTGTCCCATCCTGGATTTTGGGGTACTGAGGCCCCAGCCAGTGCTGCCACAAGTGCTGGGGCACAGTCGTGCTCAGCAGCATCAGCTCTGCACAGCACCAGGTGAGACAAGTGGGTGCTGTGCTGCAGGAGTGCAGTGTGAGGCAGGGGTGGGATGTGTGGTGCTGTTTGCCCCAGTTCCAACCCTAAATGTGCCTTCAAGTAGAAGATGGTGGAAAGGAGAGGCTGTGCTTGCCTCTCCTCAGTGAAAGCAGCCGGGATTGCAAGCAGGGTCAGAAAACGAGAGGCACCTCCAGAGACAGATAGCAAGGTATGGGACACATGGGACACACACCCCCCAGTCCCTAAAGGGACTCTGGCAGCACTTGCAGTCCAATGGCAAAGCCCATTTCTGCAGCATTCCCTGTAGCACAGTCTGCTGCACCCAAGTCTAGGGTTTAGGGGTGAGCAACAGCTCGTGGGATTTGGTGAGATCTTTTCCCCACCACCCTGGGAAATGTCCTGTCAGGCATCCTGCAGTTGGCACACAATGCCACCCATCAAAATCCACCAGCCCCAGTGCTCCCTGTGCCCTCGCTCCTGTGCCTCCAGCCCTGCACACCTCCTGTCAATGAATTCCCACCTTTACTGGGGACACATGACCACAGGACTTCGCCCTTCCCTCAGCCCCAGCAATTAGTTTTTCTGAGTTTGTTCAATTTGCCTTTTCTTTTTTTCTTCCCAATGAATATTGCCCTGTAGCAAATTCCACCAGCAGAGATGCCCAGGCTTTGACTGCCCAGGCTACAATGTGGTTTGTCTCCTCTGCTGCGGGCAGAGGGCTCTGGAAGCTGTCCAGGCTCGGGGCTGCTTTGTATAAACCTTTTCCAGAGAGGAGAGTGACTTATCAGTGAGAGCACATTCCAGGTCACAGCTCCAGGTATCTGGGATGGGAGGGAGAAAGGAGGCAGCTTTGTAATATCTTTTCTCAGTGCAAAAAAACCATTAAAGGCTGATCTATGACTGTCCCTGCACCCAGGCAGTGGGGCAGGGGATCCTGGTGCCCTCCCAGTGAGGCAGGTAGAGACGCATATGTCGAGTGTGAGGTGGAGGGGGAATCAGGCCCACTGTGTTCTCTCCCTTTTGTTGTTTTCCCTCCCATTAACTGAAGTACTCCCCATTCAAAAGAGCTTTCCCAAGTCAGGAGGGGTTTAGGAAGAGTTGCTTAAAATATCTGCTCAGAACTTAGCCCAAAGCAGTCTTTTTATACTGGAGAAGTCACTAATTCAACTACTCATTTATCCTACCCATACAGCAGCAAATGCATGAAATGCCTAAAAGGGGTTTCCAATACCATTCCATGCTAAAAAAGGAAATGACCAGGAGTTCCTTTAATGGAAGCTATTTGCTGCAATAACATGTCGTGCAGAGCTATAGTGCTCTGTTTTGGGCAAATAAGAAAACAGAGACAGAAAAAAAAATGCAGCACCATTCTCGCAGCAGCATCTTTTAAATTGTCTCTTACTATGACCTCCTCTAATCAATGGGGGGGGGGGGTAGGAAGGCATTTTAAAATGACTAGTCTAATTTTTAAGCTGACTCCAGGTCCAGGATACATTAATTAGGTTAAATCAAACCATTTTCATACTGTGCTAAGGGATGGAATTGCTTTACAATCCTTTTTTTTGTGTAAAATGCAATCTCAAAGAAACGGAGCTGTGCATCTCAGAGAGCAGTCCTCAGGCTGTGCTATAAACCACAGAACAAGACAGTATCAGAAATGTAACAGGAGTTGAAAAAAACTATATTAAACTCTGGTCCCACAGGAGATGCAGGTAAGTACTAGAACAAATCTACTTGAATTACCTAATTCAATTAACTCCTGTGATTACCAAACCCTAACCAACAGTAAATGTGCAATCACACCAGTAAACAGATGTTTCTAACACAGTCAAGATACTTCTAGTTTCAGTATCTACACACATATCTATAAATCTAACACCACAGCTATTAATACTTAACATTTAAAACCTATTTCAGACCTAGTATTTCTTAACTGTGAATTATTAATCACAGTATGTTGTGGGAGACACTGTCATGCAGAAAATAAGATACAGTGAGTTTTTTTCCTCAGCTGTTCACAAAACCACACACTTTTCTTTTCAACTGAATGCCCAGGAAGAGATGAACGCAGATTTTTCTCACCAGGGATAACTTGGATAAGTATGCTATTTCTGTTCTGTTCATAGATTTTACTTCCTTATTGAATGGTTATATTGGTAGCCAGACAAATGAGAAAAGAACTCGATATTTGTCAAGAGCGTCACTTCATATTAAGTGATTTCCAAAAGATGACACCAGATAAGTAAAAGCCATTCCTCTTTCTTTATAAATATGGCCAGTAACAGCGGAGACCATGAGTGTGTTGATGCTCAAAGACACTTAGCAATTAGTATTATAATCTCTGGTTTTGAATTTTTGAGGTTGGTGTCTTTGTTCAGTGGCTGTTGTTCGGTTTTTTTAAGCTGAAAACCCAAAGCTATCACAGACCACGCAATCCTTCAGAGCAGCAATAACTAAACATAATAACTTCAACAACTAATATCGAAAAAATGATAGAAATATGATACCCACTTACATCAACTACGAAGATCTTCTGGGAGTCATCCAGAAACTGGACTTTCAGGTGCAGCATCTTTGAGCATGTGGCTGTGCGTGCAGCAGGGGTGGCAGTCCTAGCAATGTGAGCGGCGTGCCGGCAAGGGAGCCCTGACTCCTCTTGCACACATAATTTCCCTCTCAGCTGGATGGAGAAGGCTGCAGTCACAGATGTGGAGCAGAGGCTGGAGCCTTTAGACACTGCCTAAAAACAAAGGGTGTTTTTAAAGAAAATACTGATACCTCCCCCGGTTTAAATATCACCACTGCAATAAAGGATGCTTTCTGGCTGTGAATTACGGGTGTAGTAACAGGGGAAAGATTGGCAGTAATGGGGCTGAGATAAACACTGAGCTTCTACAGCTGGTGGTGAGCAATGCGAGGCCAAAGCGAGCCCACACTTTGTACTCCGAGCTTGTGCAAGAAGAGCTGAGTGTCTCTACTGCCAAAATCACCAAGAAGCGAGCAGCACCTTTCCTCTGCCCTAGTTAAGGTGCACTGAGAGACCAGCTGGCTGGCAGCTGTGCTGGCTCCATGAGGTGGGCAGATCAGGTTGTGTCCACCAGCAATGGGCAGATGGGCTGATGTATTTCACCAGACTGGGAAATGTTTCCAACTGAGCTTGAAACCAGTTGTGAGTCCTTTCTGGAGAGGTCGAAGAAAACCTGCTCCTAATTCCCGGCTTTCACCGTGGTTTAGCAGCTTAGTGAAGTCTCACAAGCCTCTGAGACAACGTGGTTCCTGTTCCACACCTGAAAAGCCCATGTCCCCACTAAGTAATTCATCCTCCGAGTGCCAGAGCAAGCTGCCCACACTCAGACCCCTGGGCTCAGCCCAGGCTGCCGGGGGCAGCCTCCCCACGGCATGGTGGGTGCCTGGGCTTGCACTTGTGCTGCTTCTCTGCCCCAGCTGCTGGGGGGGCTGCAATGTCCTGTCTGACCTCTCTGGCCACTCACTGAGCACTCAGGTGGAAGCAGCGTTTGGGCAGGAGCCCCCACTTGCAGAAATAAATGCACTGAGCAGTGCCAAAGGCGGGCCCTGGGCTGTCATAGGGATCGCTATTCCTGCTGCTGCTGCTGGAATAAGTCACAACCACACGATCCTGTGGGACCCGGAGCGATACAAACACATCCCAGCAACCGAAAAAGCCACATTTAGTGCTGCAGAGGTTTTGCTTGTTGCTCCTTTCCACCAAAACACTTACTGTAAGTCACTCCAGGCCATTTGCTGTGGCCTCTCTTACACTTCCCAAATATTCCTGGGGATGTTAGGACAGAGGCTGTCAGGGCATACATGTAGCTTGTCATCTGGGGTGCAGAGAGGAAGAACATAGAGCTTTTCAGCTACAGAAAAAATCATTAGTCTCCTACTAACCAGGACAAAAAAAAAGCCTTAAAGTTAAAACCAATCTTCTTTTCCATGCGAAGCTGCTCCACAAAACAGCCAATCCCGTCATCCTCCAGTGCCAGCACTGCGTCAAGGACCAAGTTTCCAGCGCTGCCCGTGGCCCCGGGGTCTGAGCTCTTTGTGTCACGGGAGGAGGGCAGTGTCACGTACAAACCATCTGGGGGGGCTGAGTGCACTTTCCATCTGCAGTTTAAAGTGTTTCTGCCTTTAAAAAAATGGACAGGCATGGAGGGGAGGAGCAGCTCTCCCGTGAGCAGCTCTCATGTTATGGGCAAAGCTCTGCCACGGTTGCACTGGGAACACAGCAGGGGCACTGGCCTGGCAGGAAGGATGTATGGGGGTGTGATGGAGGAGTCCCCAAACCCCAGAAGAAGCCAACCCTCCCTGCTATGCGCTTTCCTGGCATGCCAGAGGCACTGACCCTGGGCCCTGAAGAGCCTCCCAAAACAGTGAGCCACTGGCACTGGGCAGCAAGTTCAACCACCATCCCCCTAAGGAGCCCTGGTGATGGGCAATATCACCAAAAAATACCTCAAACCTCTCTAGTCTCTCCCAAAGTCACCCAAAAGAGGAGCAGGCTCTGAGAGAGCAAACTTTGGCAGAGTTCGACACAACCTACTCCCCTGCATCACTGTGTCCACAGCTCTGTGTGCTGCTGTCCCTTGGGCTTTGTCATGTTTATCTTCAAATTTGGTTTAGAGGAAAGGAAATGAGGACAGATAGATAAAGTCATGGAATAGAGATCTGCCAGGGGATTTGAAACACCATAGTCCAAAAGGCAAGAACCCACACCCAGCTCACTGCTGAGCAGAAGTGCACACTCGAAATGCCAGAGACAGGACTCACCTCAGTGGACTTTGGTCTGTTGTGACCTTTCATATAACACCATTACTCCTCCTCTTCCTCAGCCAGAGCTGTTGGGAGAACGTCCACATTCCCTTCTCACCCAGCCTTGACTCTCCCATCTGCAGGGCCAGGGAGCAAAGCAGCTCTTTCCTGTGTCGCTGGGAGCAGGCTCAGGCTCAGCTGAAGTCCTCCTGAGCAGCTCTAGGTGCACAACAGAACGTCACCAGCCGGTTAATGAATCCAAGGCACGGCACCAACACTGCAAACAGGGAAATTTCCATCCAGAATAGGGTACCTGCCATATTCCTGCTGCCACACCACAAGGAATGATTTCACTCTCAACTAGGGTCCTGGTTTACACACTGGTTGCTTTAAATTTTTTATAAAATATGCCCCTAAAAAAGTATTTTCAAAAAACAAAGCCTGAAAAAACTGAGTTTGTTTGGCTTAAAAAAAAAGAAGAAAGAGGGAAAAACAATCACCTGATTGATGTAGAGCCACTCCAGCAGAACGCATCCGCTGTGTTTGGGAACTGAGTTTCCCCAAACTCTGGGGAAGATGGAGAAATTACTGGAAATTGCAGGAAAGGTCTGAGGGATGAAGAGATTGCTGGAATCAGATTGCTGGAAGAGCCAGGGATGATTCACATCCATGTTAGGCACAGTCCAGGCACACGGTCCTCCCTTTAAACCTTTAACAATGACTGTAATTCCTCATTTACTTCACAAGTTACATTTACATTATATCTTGAATATATCTCAACACTTAGAGCTGACTCACCATGTCCTGCCCTTCTAAAAACTTCTGCCCCAGAACCATTCTATTTATTGGATATAATAAACAATGACACATTTGCATTTCCATCAAATTTTGCCTGCCAACCATCAGCTAAACAATCTGACATCACCGTGCTGAAACTCATTACTCAGAAGTAATTGCTAGGAAAATGGAAATGATTGCATTTTTTCTTTTGTCTTTAAGTAGGTTTTGCCCATTAGCCTCCAACTGCAGGATAAGAATTCTCTGACCAGCATTTTGAGACCAGAAGGTAGGCATTATGCAGCGGTGTTTTCCTCTCCAGTTTGCCCCAGGCCTATCTTGCTACCATTCCCACAGAGGGCTGGACTCATGGCAATGCAACATCACAAACACAATTCCCTGAAAGCAGCTCCATGGACACCCTGGTGTCCATCAGCTTTAATAACTTGTCTGCAAGTGAGACTGACAAGGGGAGAGCTGTGAGTGAACAGGGAGGAGTGAAGGCAAACACCCCTGGCCTTAGACTGGAAACTAAGGCAGGTTTGAAGAAGAATTGCATCATCTGACTGTGTCAGACCAGGCAGTTCCAGTGCAGGTGATGACAAAATAACACACCAGTTATACAGATTATTTGCATCAGTGTTGAGGCAGCGAGGATCACCAGACAAACAGGGATGGAGCTGGGGAGCAGTTCTGCTGTGCACAGGCTGCTCTCCTGCAGGCAAGCGCTCCAGGAAAACCAGCTAAGCATGACCCTGAATGCCAGTTCAGCTGCTGGACCCAGTTGTAATAATAACAAACTAAATAGGTTTAGCTGAGTTTAAGCACTAAGCCAAATTAAAAGTCAATTGCCTGACTTGCCCTTTTTTAAAATTTATTTTTTTTAGTAAGTTTCTGATTCTCAAGGACTCATAGAATCATCAGATCTTATTCTTGTGATTATATTTTTATCTCAGCTTCAGCAACTGAGTTAAATGGCTCTTTTTACCTGCCTGCAATAGTAGAGTAGGAAATCCCAAATAACCTTGATTATGCAAAAGAGACCCAAAGCGCAATTGCAATCCCAGACACCTGAGACAAATTAACCCTAAGTGCAAAACTTTCTTTGGCACCCTCTTAAAATATTCTCACACCATGCTACCAAAGCCCTGGAATACAAATTTATTTCCACTTCTGTTCTGGTTTCAGCCTGTGCTGAACCGTGTTTGACTCCCAGTGCCAGAGCCCTGCTCTAATCCAGGCCACTGCCAGGATGAACCACTCGTTGCTTCCACACTCCCTCTCGTGGTGTTGGTGGTGCCCAACGACAAACACAGGAAAGGATTCAGCGTGCAGGGACGAGCAGCTCAGTCCAGCAATCACACATTCCAGGGTGCATCCATGTGCATTGTTGACTTTTCTTCCTTTTTCAGACTTCATATGCTATCTAGAAACTATTGCCAGGCACTGCAGAAGGCAGCTTGCTACAAGCAAATGCAAATGACAGCACAAGCTGTACAAGAAACTAAATACCAGCCCGACTCGTGATTTCCAGACCACATTATCTCATTTTTAATGTGCCAGTTGCACTCTGTTGTTGGCACAGCTATATAAAAAGCACTCTGTGATGTTTAATTCAAACAGGTCACTTCCAAGACATAGGAAAGCAATTTACACAGAAAAGGAAAGCCTCATGAACGTATCGAGTCAAAGGAGTGCTGGCACCTCCAAGGATCTGGGCATCTCGTAGCATTCAGGGATTTCCAGCTGGGGAGATGCACCTCACCAGGTCTGTACAGCAGCAACACAGCACAGGGCCGGTACATGCTGTCCTTGATTCGTTTCACACACGTCGCTCCCAGGCCACTTACACACACATCCCCACACCAACAGGGTAAAAGTACTGTGAGCTCACCTGTACTCCTGCAGATGCCCAGGCTCCTGGTCCTTGTGAGTGCTGTCAGGAGGACAAACCCATCCACCTTGAGGCTCCCCGTGACTCACCAGCAGATCGGTCCTAGATTGCAGCCTAGGAGAAAAATCATGGAGCCCACGTACCACACCACAGAAATCTGACTGGCAGGTCATGCAGCTCTGGCAACAGAGGGCTACGAAACCAAAAGAAGCAGCAGCAGCAACCCATCAGAAGGGAATTAAAGGCCAGGATCATGAAAACCTTTGCTGAGCATCAGAAAGGATCCTATGGCCAATGGCTTTGTCTAAGGAAGCTGCCCAATTGAGTCTGCAATGCCAGCTGAAGAGGCTGAATCGTAGTGGAAAGGATGGAGTTCTAATGAACTATATTGCATATTTTCATGGCAGATGTGGTTTCCCTCTTGGCTCAAGACAACTAACTCTGATTGAGTAAGCCTTGATTACATGTAGGCGAAGCAATGCATGTGTTCTCCAGGCCAATGGATCAGACCCATCTCACCATATGAATCTTTAAGTCTGAGTTTTATTATGTTTCCCTTCCAGGCAGCTCTCTTCCCTCACTCCTGTCTTTTCCTTTTATTCTTTCTCAAAAGACCCTCATCACACCTCAGTCCTACCAAGGGGTGCCAAATTCCAGGTATGAAGCTCACAGCAGAGTGAAAGCTGTGCCAAAGCCACTCTTCATAGCAGGCAGTGGAGGACAACAGAGCAGCATCCACCTGAAGCTGTGAGCTTGGTACTTCTGTAGTGGTCAAAGGTAGTCCCAGCCTTGTGGTTCATCTTCCAGGGCCTTCTGGCAGATGTTGGCAGCCATGAAACGGACATATTTCAAAGAACAGGAAACATTCCTACATCATGCCTGTCCCAAGGTTTCAGGGGTGCATTCATACAACCTTCCTAGGTCATTAAATTGGGTCCCAAGAGGAAACCATTTGGATGGTCTGAGATACAGAGCTACAGCTACTGAACAGGACAGACAGCTAGAAGGAAAGGAATCCAGCTGGACACCAAGGTACTTCTAACCACAGCCTGACACCAGGCAGGCCCTGCAGCTAAAATCTTTCTTCTAACCTATTAAAAATACATCTGCATTACTGAGATTAGACACAGAGCATTTGGCAAGGCTGTGCTAATTCCTGGAACAGCGAATGGAAAATAATGCCAGGATCAGTAATGTGACTGTGGCTGCAGAGATCCCACGACGCAGCCCAATGTACAGAGGCAGGAGCTGTTCAGCCTCACACTCTCCTTCCTCCAG